TTGGAGAGAGAAATACTTAGAGGATGTTTGTGATGGTAGAGTTGTAGATAAAAGATTTAGTCAGCAAGTTTGAGAGCATATTGGGCATGGTACCTGTCTATCATTTCTTCTATCAGATGGTCCTAACTACCATAAGTAAATCAAAATATTCATGAATTTGTGTTACCTTATTTTCCCTAATGCACTTGCTGCATGGAAGGAAACACTGAAGAGAACAAGATAGAGCGATCAATAAAAATGCTGAATATGGTACAATTTTGTCCTTAAGGAGCTTGTAGCCTACTAGGGGTGGCAGATATAATATATAAACAATTAGAAAACAGTGGGGTACGTGCTTTATTTTTATTTTTTTTTAAATATATTTTATTGATCTTTTACAGAGGAAGGGAGAGAGAGAGACAGAGAGCCAGAAACGTCGATGAGAGAGAAACATCGACCAGTTGCCTTCTGCACATCCCCTACTGGGGATGTGCCCGCAGCCAATGTACATGCCCTTGACCGGAATCGAACCCGGGACCTTTCAGTCCGCAGACCGATGCTCTACCACTGAGCCAAACCGGTTTCGGCGGGTACGTGCTTTATTAACAGATATGGGATAGACTCTGTTAGAGCTTAGATGGAGGAGTGTTCTGCTGGCCTGGGTTTTAGGGAAGGCTTCATATAGGAGGTGAAAATTGAGCTGCTGTCTAGGATAAGGAATTTGGTAGATGAGGTCTGGGCAGAGCATTCCAGGCAGAAGAAAGGGAATATAAAGGAGCAATGGGAACTGCAGAATGTTTCAAGATGTTACTGGGCAGGGGACCTGGCCCTGAACATGTCTGCCTGCCTAGGGCCAGCCTGTAGTGTGTGGGTTCTTGACTTCGTGCAGTAAAAATTTCACAACATGAGTTCAGGTACATTTGTTAAAGCTGAGAACAGTGAAATAAGGAAGAGCTTGGCATAGAAAAAGCAAAGGAGAGCCTAGGCTGGGCTGCTCTAGCTCACTGGGAAGTCAGAGAAAAGGGGGCTTTGGAGGCAGGCTCAGGGGTTAGCCCGGAGCAAACGCCATTTCCCATTACTTACCTGGTTGCAAGTCCTTTGGGGACCCTTAGAGTTTAGGAGATGCGTGCCTCTTGGGGAAGAGGAGAATGGGGAAGGCGAGGGGGTGCTCCCCAAAGGGGGGAGCATGAGCTGGGTCCTTTGTCTTGAGGGTTTTTCTCTATTGTAGGTGGGAATCTTAGGAGAGGTCTCAGGAGAGGGTTTTAGTAGAATATTCACTAATTTTCTAGGTGTTCTTTATCAGGGTCACATTCTTACTGATTGGTCAGTACCAGGGCAGGCAATTGTTAGTCATTACAATTGGTCCTGATGTCATCCACCTGATTTTGCTGCTTTCTAGGCTTGGAGCTGAAATACACCTGAGGCCTAGGAAGGTGGCCTTCTGTATCTGGCTGTAAATTGCTTTCCCAGTTTGTTCAGCTATCTGCCTCAATTTACCCACTCTACTTGCCAAGGAATCTTTCTAGCTCCTTACTATGCTGCCTCAGAAAGGCTGAAAATAGTGTGAGAGAATGGTGAGAGATATGGGGGTCCAGAATAAGAATTGTCTTGCTAGGGAGTTGGAGTTGATGTAGAGCCACTGAAAAATTTTGATGAAAGTATAATACTAAAGGCAAGAATACCAACTACTTTTTCAACATCATGTAATGACTAACCGGCATCTGAGACTTAACAAGCCCCAAAAGCTAACTGCTGTTTTCTGCCTCCAACATTTACTTCTGCTTTTCTACATCTCGGAGAATGACAACTTTATTCTTTGAGCTAGTTAGTTCAATCATTCATAACTACTTTTTCTCTTATACCCATCAGGAAATACTGTTGTTTTTCCCTTTATGTTCTCCCAGAATTTTCCCACTAATTTACTACTTTCATTGGGGCCACCCTCATCTGAGCCACCATCATCTCTAGCCAGGGTGACTGCAGTAGCCTCCAGACTAGTCTCCCTGCTTCCTTCCTTACCCATCACCAGTGCATTCACCAGTGTATTTTACACACAGCAGTCAGAGTGGACCCTTCTTAAAAGTGAGGTCATAGTATTTCGCTCTAAACCTTCTGATGACTTCCTTGCTTCCATTTCTACATGGGGCCACAAAGCCCGGCACTTGGCTGTCTGTGCCACCACTATTCTTCCTTATTCTGCTTCAGCACACTTGCCTCCTTTCTGTTCTTCCGACCTGGCCTACACTCTTGCCTCAGAACCTTTGTATATGCTGTTCTCTCTGCCTGGAACATTATTCCCCAAGATATCCACAGAGGTGACTCCCTCACTCCCTGCAGGGCTCTGCTCATGAGGCCTTTTTAATCACCTTATGTAAAACTAGAAGTCCCATGCACGAAGATTTGTGCAAGAATGGGCCTTCCTTCCCCTGGCTGCTGGCACCGCCTTCGCTCTGGCCGGAGCTGCCTTTTTGCTCCTCCCGGAGCCACCTTTCTGCCTTCCCATGCTGCCCAGCGGCCAGGAGCGGCTGGGGTGGTGCAGAACAGCGGCGACATAAGTGTCCCACCCCTGGCCACTCGGTGCCTGTGTATGCAAATTAACCTGCCATCTTTGCTGGGTTTATTTGCATACTCCTGATTGACTGGTAGGTGTTGCAAAGGTACAGTCATTTAGCATGTTGTTCTTTTATTAGTGTAGATAGCAGAAGTTCTTCTCAGGCACTCTCTAACCTTACTTTTCCCTCTATAGATTTGCTACCATTCAATATATATTTACTTATTTGTTTGTCTCTCTTTTCTGCAGTGTAAGGTCTAAAAGGTTAGGAACTTTGCTTTGTTATTGCTCTCTCCCTAAGGCACAGAACATGAGCTGGCCACTCAGTAAAATTTTGTTAACCTAATGACTTGATTTGCATTTTCCTGTGGCAGCCTTGTGGATAATGAAGGGGAAGGGGTGCAGAATTGACACTTGGAATTGAAATCGTCCAGTCAAGAGATTTAAAGGGCATGGAATCAAGAATTACTTGGGAAGGAGAATTGACTAGATTTGGCAACTCACTGGAAAGGGAGAAGTGAAGGATAATGACTCCCAGATTTCTGGCTTGGATGGCTTAGGCAGATGTTGTTGTCAGGAATTAGTGAAGCCATGGGGATGAATGAAATAGACCAACCATCCTGGTTGGCCCAGGACTGTTGATTTTAGCACCAGAAGTCTATGCCTCAGGAAACCTCTCAAATCCAGGCAAACCCAGATGATTGCTCACTAATATACAGAGTAAAAAGATAGCTAAAGACTATTATACAGAGTCACTAATATACAGAGTAAAAAGATAGCTTTGACTATTATGGAAAAGGAGGAGGTAATCAAGTCTGTGCGGGAATGGAGCAGGGCAGTTTGAGGGGCGGGTAGCAGGGGGCTCATTGGGGCACAGGATTATGGAAGCTAAGAGAACAGATGCTTGAAGAAGAGAGTGGTCAACAGGATAGGGTTGAGTTTCTCTTGGAATTTCTGAGTTTGAGTTTCTAGCTGTTCTTGGCAGAAGTATGACATATTATAGAGAATCTGTATATATTTCTTGAAATAAAAGATAGAAATGATATATCTCTTTTGTTGTTTTTGTTAATCTGTGAGTTACTGAGGGGAGCCAACCTCTGATACTTGTTGGATCATAAGGATAAAAATGAATTTAGGGATGTTACTGAAAGCAACATTATTTCTACAGCAAGTGTTTGACATTCTCGGTTTAATGGATACTCTGAGCACTGGGCAGTGGGAGTAAGCTGTTTATTCTGCAGTTCTGAAAGAGCATTGAATCAATGATTATAAAACTGGAATTTCAAAGCTGGACATTCGTGATCAGCGGTTCTTAAACTTTTAGGACCCTTTTGAGAACTGTCTCCCTGCATAGAGGCACATTTTACCTCCCAGTTTGAGGGGTGGAGGATTATAGATGGCCATGGAATCCCATGGTGAAAGAATCTGTCTAGTACCTTCCTGTTTATACCTCAGGATATTAACCTGTTAACCGAGCGGGACCTTTAAATACGTCAAATGTAAACAATATCAGGAACGGGTAGGACGTATTGATATGAATACGTCCTTGAAATACTATATGTTGTGCCCCGAGAGGGAAGGTATATATTTTTTGTAATCTTTTTTTTTTTTTTTTAATATTTTATTGATTTTTTACAGAGAGGAAGGAAAAGGGAGGGATATAGAGTTAGAAATATCGATGAGATGAGAGAGAAACATTGATCAGCTGCCTCTTGCACACCCCCCACTGGGGATGTGCCGGCAACCAAGGTACATGCCCTTGACCGGAATCGAACCCGGGACCTTTAGGTCCGAAGGCCGACGCTCTACCACTGAGGCAAACCGGTTTCAGCTATTTTTTGTAATCTTTATCATTGTTTGTAAAATTTATAATTTTTTAATTCGACGTGTCCATTTCTTTTTTGTCAGTATTCTTTTCTAATTTTTTTTGGTAATTTTGTATTTTCCTTTGTGCTTTATATATATAAATAAATGAAAAAATATATATATTTCATTTATTTTCATTAAGTAGAAATAAAAAAAATAATATGGAATTACGTCCTCTGGGCGTGACGTACTGGCATGTCCTAGTGAAAGAGTACGCGCCCGTTACAGGTTGCGTCATTAAAAAGGGAACTCCCGGTTAACAGGTTAAGAGGCCTAGAAAAACTAACTTATCCAGAATCACATAGTGACTGAACTTATTCTTGGTTGAGTGTTCTATTCATTATATGTCACCGGTTTATTGCAGGTTCACTCTCTCTGGGCCTACTACTAGATTTCTTTTATTTCAGTTATGAACTGGGTCACTGTGCCAACTCAGTAAGTGACCCCAGTCTAACTCTCTTTCCACAGACTGAGCAAACATTCTGTAGAAAATTTGATGAACTGCCAGATTTAATATACCTAACTTTCAAGTCACAAATTAAAAGTTGATGAGGTAAAAAAAAGCTCTTACTAATGACTTTATTGTGCCTTTTGTTTGGAATAGGATGCTGTATGATTATGTTGAAAGAAAGCGAAAGGAAAATTCAGGAGCCCAACTGCATGTCACCTATTTAGTGTCTGGCAGTCTTGTTCAGAACGGACATGTGGTAAGTTCTCAGAATCTTATAATGAGCTTAAATATGTTTGAGCTATCAACTGTTAAATAACATGGAGTGGGGGAAAGGGGAACACATTTTTAGTATTATGGAAGTTTTGAAAAGCTACCTGTAGGTGATTATTTTGAATTTTAGACTAAACTTAAAACTCTGAGAAGTTTTGGTTATATCTTGGCTGTGATGCAAAGGCTATAACATTACTGGCAATTTTTCTAGGCAGCAAGGCATTAGGAGACTGCTTCTGTTACTTCTCTTTTTTCCTGCTGAAGATGTATTAGGGCAGTGGTCGGCAAACCGCGGCTCTGGCCCCTTGAGTGTTCTAAAGCCACTTCTTCAGAACAGACTCGCCCAGGCTGAAACCGACTTCTGCGCGTGGGCCACGAAGTTTCATTCGCACTGTACGTGCGCACCTGCACATGGCATTTTGTGGAAGAGCCACACTCAAGGGGTCAAAGAGCCACATGTGGCTCATGAGCCACAGTTTGCCGACCACTGTATTAGGGAAAAATTCTAAGTGTTCACATATCTTCTGGAGCAGAATATAAGATTAAGAATTTATGTTTTAAGATCAAGTTTTAGATTTTTATCCTAAGACACTTTAGCAGAGGATCTTAGTTGGGAACTTTGCATGGTCTTTGGGATTCAAGAAATGCCTGGAAAAAACCCTGAAAGTGCATTTACTAGTAGATTGTGTTCCTCAGTGCATTTTTTGAGGCCATTTTTCAAAATGATGTGTAACTGATATCAGTTAAAAAACTTCTATGCTGTGGCTTGCTTATAAAGGCCTGTTATTTTTAAATTTAAGATGGAATTTAAGTTCTGCCAATATTTCTTTTTAAGCAGCAGAATGCTTCCAAATGAAATCTTTAGAATCCTAATATAAAAAATACACTGATAGTAGGGTGCCGAAGTTGAAGTGATTGTGAGGATTTTGTAGCTCTGTACTCACCCCCCTCAGCCCCATCGGTCAGCTCTGTGGAACCCTTAGAATGACTGATCACGTGTGGATGATGTTACCCTTTTTTTCCTAAAGAGAGCCTTCCTATGGGAAGGCAGAGTATTAAGCATAATTTTTAGGTTTTGTTCTTTTTAATTTCTTCTTTAAGTTTTAAGTGTTTCTAGAAAGAAAAAGATACATTAGAGACTTTGTATGGATTTTTAACAATACTGCTTATTTTTCCAGTGACTGTGATTATTGTAAAAAATGTTTAATGAGCCAAAACCGGTTTGGCTCAATGGAGAGAGCGTCGGCCTGCGGACTGAAAGGTCCCGGGTTTGATTCTGGTCAAGGGCATGTACCTGGGTTGCAGGCAAATCCCCAGTAGGGGGTGTGCAGGAGGCAGCTGATTGATGATTCTCTCTCATCAATGTTTCTAACGCTCTCTCTCTCTCTCCTTTCCTCTCTGTAAAAAATCAATAAAATATATTTTAAAAAAATGTTTAATGATACATAGAAAGTAAAAGCCTCCCTGTAATCTCAGGGAGAGTCTCCTAAAGAACTATTGGCAGATTTCAGCGGGATATTTGGTTGGTTCTTTTTGTGTTGTTAGAGGTTGTCACCCTGATCTATCCTTTATGAAATTCCCTACCAGCTTTTTTCATCTAATGATTTTTCCTGAGATTGGATTTTTATTGTTGCCTAGATCATTAATTCACAAAATGGTGGTACTCTACTTCTGTCATTCTTTCTGCATGCTGGAATTTTTCTATAAAGAAGAACTTGTTCTCACTAACCAGCCATATTTTTTCCTTTTTTCTAACTGCAAAAAAGCAAGGGGCTTACCCTCAGCCAGGCTCTGGGTTTGTGCATACTCAACTTACTCCTGTGTCCTCCTTTTAATAGGAACCAACTGAACTGGAGCTCTAGTCTGGTGTGTGTGGTTTTAGCATCTGAAAGCTAGTATTTCCACTGAGTTGTTTTTATGCATTTTTAATTTTTTTTTAATTTTTAATTTTTTAAAATATATTTTATTGATTTTTTACAGAGAGGAAGGGAGAGAGATAGAGAGCTAGAAATGTCGATGAGAGAGAAACCATCGACCAGCTGCCTCTTGCACACCCCCTACCGGGATATGCCCGAAACCAAGGTATATGCCCTTGACTGGAATCGAACTCGGGACCTTTCAGTCCGCAGACCGATTCTCTGCCACTGAGCCAAACAGGTTTCGGCGTTTATGCATTTTTAATATCCCAAGAAGCAGCAGATAGTCACACTGAGCTCCCTGGGTTGTCCAAATTTTTTCCTGAGGATAGAAATTATCTTAGGGCTCTTACTACAAAGTTGCATAGGTTTGAGTGGTTAGTTCCTAATGCTTTTTTTTCTCTTAAGCTCTGTAATTTTTATTATACAGCTTGGCAGAATATGACATTTTTAAGAATGCCTGTTTTGTTCAGATTTACAATTACATTTTTTTAAAGAAGGCTATTTGATTTTATATTGCTCTTTTTTTTTTTAATAAGTTTTTATTGTTCATATTATTACAAATGTTCCTTTCCCACCCTCCCACTATTGCTCTCCTCCACCAGGTTCCCACTCCATCCTCTGCCTTTTCCCCACTCCCCATTGTCCTCATCCATAGGTGCACAGTTTATGTTCAGTCTCTTCCCACATCCCCCTCTCCCCTTTTCCCCAAGAATCGTCAGTTCACTCCCCTTCCATACCTCTGATTCTATTATATTCAACAGTTAATATTGTTCATCAGATTTTTAATTTCCTTGGTTTTTAGATTCACTTGTTGATAGTTACGTATTTGTTGTTCATAATTTTTATCTTTATTTACTTTCTCTTCTGAAAGAAACCCCTTCAACAATTCGTATAATTCTGATTTGGTGTTGATGAACTCCTTTAGCTTTTTTTATTAGTGAAGCTCTTTATCTGACCTTCGATTCTGAGTAATAGCTTTGCTGGATAGATTATCCTTGGCTGTAGGTTCTTACTATTCATCACCTTGAATATTTCTTGCCATTCCCGTTTGGCCTGCATGGTTTCTGTTGAGAAGTCAGCTGACAATCGTATAGGTGCTCCTTTATAGGTAACTACCTTCTTTGCTCTTGGAATTTTAATTATGATTTGTCTTGGTGTGGTCCTCTTTGGATTCCTTTTGTTTGGAGTTCTTTGCGCTTCCTGGACTTGTAAGTCTAATTCTTTCACCAGGTGGGGGAAGTTTTCTGTCACTATTTCTTTCAGTATGTTTTCGATATCTTGCTCTCTCTCATCTTCTGGGACCCCCATAATTCTGATGTTGGTTCGCTTGAAGTTGTCCCAGAGGTTTCTTACATTATCTTCAATTTTCTGGATTCTCTTGCCTTCTAGCTTCAGTGGCGGGAGTGTCTTCTGGTTCTTTATGTTCCAAATCTTTGACTTGATTCTTGCGATCTTCCATTCTGTTTTTAGGACTCTGTATAATATTTTTTATTTCAGACAATGTATTCTTTATTTCTTGTTGATCCCTTATCATTTCTTGTTGACTCCTTATTAATTCTAGTTGATCTTTTTTCATATCCTCATAGGTCTTATCCATCTTTTCTAGGAAATTCTTGAAAAACCTTATAAGCGTAGATTTGAACTCTATATCCAGTCGCTTTTTGTCCTCCATTTCTTTCGTTTGTGATCTATTTCGTTGTCCCATTTCGCAGTTACAGATGGGATGGGATTTCAGGGTGGAGCCTACAGCCTTGGCTTCCGTCAGCCCCACCCTATGCGGCTCCTGCGGCTCAGGGTCCTTCAGTACTCGCTGCAAAGCGCCTCTGAGAGATAGATGCCCTCGATTTTCTCCTGCTGCCAAACAGTCTATGCTCTCCCCCAATGAGCCTGGTATTGGGGTTCAGTTCAGTTGGAAGTGGAGTTGGAGGTGGCGTTCAGAGCAGTCTGGAGCCCCTGTCTCCTTTCGGCCAGGGCACTCCCGCGGCACAGCCGGCCGTCCCTTCTCTGCGCACAATGTGCTGTGCCGCTGGGACCTCCTTTCGCCGCTCTCCTGGGTTCTGCCTTACAGCCCAGCTCCCCCTGTGTGAACCTGGGTCCCCGGGGTCTGGCTTAGAACTGGGGTTCAGAGCAGTCAGAATGGGGGCCCAGCACAGTTGGAGTTTTATCTCCTTCCCGCTAGGGAACGCCCGCCAGGCACTCAGCCTCCCTCCTCTCCGGCTCCGTCCTCTCCATGCACGCGGTGTGTCTCCATACCTTAGGCTTTTCCAGCTCCTCCGCGCTTCCTTCTGGTTTTCTCCTTGCTTCTCGTTGTAGAATTTCCAGTCAGTCGACTTTCCTGTAGTTCTGGGTAATGTCCATTTTATATTTTAGTTGTATTTTATTGAAATTGTTGTGTGAGGCTGCAGCTAGGTGTTTACCTGGGCACAGCCATCTTGGATCTTCTATATTGCTCTTTTATGATGTGAATTTTGATGGTTCCTATAGTAACATAAATATGTGTCCGTTTTAGCTAAATTTATATGATTTAGAAAAGCAAAACCAATATTTTTAGTAACAATATAATTACTGAAAATGGTTTCATTTCTTTGTAGTTGTTTTTGTCTGTAGGCTATATCCTATTGGAGATAAACAATCAGTCTGTTTCAGAATCACTTGAAATAATTCCTCTCTGCAGTTAAACCACCAATTAGTTATATTCATATTACCCTCCTTTTTAAAATAATTTTCATACATTACATTGTATTTTGCACTCTGCTTTTTTTACTTAATAGTAGATTCTGAGCGTCACTCCATAATAGTTACAGAAATATTCTGCATTCTTTTTACAGCCACATGATCCTACATCTTATATAATAAAAGCCTAATATGCAAATTGTCCCCTCGACCGGAGTTCAACCAGGAGGTGTGGTCAGCAGCCCTGGCAGCCGGCAGCCAGGGGTAGGGAGACCCCCCCCCGCCGGCAGCCACTAGGGACCCTACCCTTGCACAGATTTTGTGTACTGGGCCTCTAGTTAATAGACATTCCTTAGTTCAGTGGTCGGCAAACTCATTAGTCAACAGAGCCAAATATCAACAGTACAATGATTGAAATTTCTTTTGAGAGCCAAATTTTTTAAACTTAAACTTCTTCTAATGCCACTTCTTCAAAATAAACTCACCCAGGCCGTGGTATTTTGTGAAAGAGCCACACCCAAGGGGCCAAAGAGCTGCATGTGGCTCACGAGCCGCAGTTTGCCGACCATGGCCTTAGTTTATTCAGCTGTCCCTTATTGATAGTTCTTTGAGTTATTTATAATCTTTGGCTATTACTAATAGTGCTATAGTGAATAGCTCAGTGTGTATGTGTTCTCTATATTTTTTGCCAGTGTGTTTAAAGGTTACATTCCTAGAAGTAGGATGTTTTGTACTTTGTTGGGTGTTGCCAAATACCTCTCCATTCCCAGCAGCAGTGTTACGTGAATGCTTGTTTCCACACAGCACTTGTCATATGTTTTGGGGTTATTTGCATTTCTTTTTCTGTGAACTGTCTGTTCATACATCTTGCTCATTTTTAAAGGATTACTAGTGTTTGTTTTCTCTATTTTAGAAGCCATATATTAACCCTTTGTGATGTAACAGACATTTTTTTCTACGTTATCATTTGTCTTTGTACTTTGGTTAAAGTTTTTATTGTTTTTTATCTAAAAGTTTTTATGGATTATTTTCATTATTTTTGAATTTTGAGTTGTAGTTAGGAAACTTCTCTATTCTCAGATTGTATTAGTTTATTGAAGAATTCACTCATATTTTCTTCTAGTGCTTATATTATTTCATTCATTCATTTGTTTGTTTTTAATCCTCAGCCAACGATAATTTTCCATTGATTTTGTTAGAGTGGGAGAGAGAGGGAAAGACACAGAGAAATATCGATGGGAGAGAAACACATCGATTAGTTGCCTGGGCTGGGGAAGAGTCTACAGCCTAGGTACATGCCCTTAACTGGAATCGAACCCCGGATCCTTCGGTCTGCAAGCTGACGCTCTATCCACTAAGCCAAACTGACTAGGGCTGGTTTCGTTCTTTATATTTATATCGCAGATCCATTACGAATTTATTGTTTGTTTGGTGTGAGAGACATCCAATTTTTATTGGGTTCTATGTTATTAAACTAATTCTCATTACATTATCAATTAAAAAGTTCTCTTTTCTTTGCACTGATTTGCGATGTTGTGGGTTTTAAAAAAATTGTATTGATATTTATATTCTATCACTTTTCTTAACCTCATTGAGAAGTTTTAATATAAGCAAGTTAAAATGAGTATAACTATTAAACTAACAATATATTTTCAGGGATACTTAATATTCCTAATTTTATATTCAAGCGCAATTGAATTTTTGGCTAGGAAACTTTAAAATCGCAAATTACACTTAACATTAATGAAGTGTTATTTCCTTTCAGTGCCACAAGGTTGCAGTAGTGAGAGAAGATAAATTGGAAGGTAAGTGTTTTAGCAATTTAGCAAGTTTTTACTCTTATGGCATCAATGTAGGTACACTAAAAAGAAGAAAATCTGCCTCTAACATTTGCATACAATATAGTTAGCTATTTAACTGAAGATCTGTATATGCTTTTTATAAGTAGTTTCTGAAACATTAAAATATACTACATCTGCCTAACTTCCCTCTTTTAAGGTCAATAGCTGCTAACATTTATAAAGCACTTTAATCACAGGATTTCAAAACTCGTGACAGATATACAAAAAACTTTCATGAATACCATATGGAGCACCTCATCAACTGTAAAAAGACAGTAGTCTCTAAATGCGTTGTGTTCTATAACAGTTTTATTGATAGAAAAAATATCTTTTCTAAAATCAGAAAGACTTAATATAATTTCTAAATTAAATTTGTCTATCTGTTTCAAAACTATGCTATTGTTCTATTTTTAAAAAACTCAATTCAGAGGAATTGTATAATAGTCAGTGGGCTCCACATGATCTTGGATTTATGCCTCAAGACAAAAGCAGCATTATTGTACTTTTAAAAAAATTATTATTAAAAAAAAAATCGGTACTCAAGAATATTTTTTCAATTGATTTTTAGAGTGAAAGGAAGGGGGAGGAGGAGGGAGAGAGGAAAGGAGGGGGAAGATAGAGGAGGAGAAAGGGGAGGAGGGAAGGAGGGACAGAGAGAGAAAAAAAGAAACATCAATGTGAGAGAGACCATTGATTTGTTGCCTCCCACATACGCCCAGATCGGGGATGGGGAGGGAACCCACAGCAGAGGTACATGCTTTTGATATGGAATTGAACCCTCAACACTTGGGTCCACAGGCTGACCCTCCAACCACTGAGCCAAACCAGCCAGGGCTACACAATTATACTTTATAAAATAAGACTCATGCTGGTAGAGTCGTTTTATTACAAATTAATATGATGTATTCAGGGTGGTGGAGTTGGCTACTTCTTTTGAGTTCCCACATTGGTAGGCAAAGCAAGATCCATTCAGTTGATACATAGTGAGTTGTATACTCTGTATCAAGCTCTGGGCCAGTCACTAGAGACTTGGAACAAGTTAGGCATAGTCCCTTCCTTTATGGGACCTCAAATTTGTTCCTATGATGTTCTTTTGTGTTTTTCCTTTGCATATTTGCAAAGTATTTGTTATAGAGTTGCTTTCTCGTTATATGCTAGAGTGTAAGACTCTTTCCTGGCTGAAAAAAAAATCATGGTCATCATCAATCATTCATTAGTATTTACTAAGTGTCCACTGGATGAGTGATACCCTCACAGGTGCTGTGCTTACAACTGACTCACCACCACCACCTACCTTGTCATAATGTCCCTGTTGGAGACAGAAGAGGTGATGTTATACTGTATACTAGTATGTGGCTATTTGGCCTTTTAGAGCTTTTTGGACCACCACAGATTGTAAATGGTTTTAATGCAGAAGGGTTTCTTGTTAAAGTCCCCACATGCTATGAAGGTTGTGTGTTAACAGTCTGCTTTTCCTGTTGACTTGTAGCAGTGAAGTCCAAGCTAGCTGTGACTGCCAGCATCCATGTGTACAGCATCCAGAAAGCCATGCTAAAGGACAGTGGGCCTCTGTTCAATACCGACTATGACATCCTTAAAAGCAACTTGCAGAACTGCAGCAAGTGAGCTCCTTAATGTTCCTTGTGAGCTTCTTTACGAATTGATTTTGTAAGATGTTTACACAGTGGCTGCCTCTTAAGAGTGAATGCCAAGTCTAGTAAAACCCCATTTATCTTGCAGTAAGACACATGCCTGGTTTTATTAGTACATCATAAGGTGAAAAATAGCAGCCACAACCCATATTGAAAACCCCAGTGGACTTCCCATAAATCTATTTCTCATGTATTTATCCTGTCACTGTCACCAGAAATGTTTGTTGTGCCCCCTCATTACTCCTTTACCCTTGTCTCTGCTGGTCTAAATTCTGCCCATCTTTTAAGAACCAGTTCAAACTTCAAAAAACTATTCCTAATTTGATATCCCCCTACCTTCCATCCAAGAGCAATTGATCCTCCATAGCCAGTATTGATCTTGTTCATCTTTGATATCCTTCATAGCACAGGGAAGTGATGGACTACAATGCATGTGGGTTTTGAGAATTGGTGGTCCTGAGCTTCAGTTGTGGCTTTGCTGCTTCATACTCCTCCATGGCTTTGGACAAAATACTTAAACGCTTTGAGATTTGGTTTCTTCATCTTTAAATTAGATATAGTAATTTAAATTAGATATAGTAATGCCTACTTTGTGGGGTTATATTGAAGATTCAGATACATGTTGAATTCCTACTACTTGGATAGATGCTAAGAAAGATAACTTAAATTCATTCAATGAAGATCTGATGTGTACCTACAACATGCTCCACTCTACAGAGTAAATATGGCTCAGTGCCTGTTCAATGCTCTGGTCAAATGGGATGAAGATAGAGATTTTGGAATCAGAGAAAATTGGTAATTAATTGGGTAGACATAGTCACACAGAGAATGTATAGAATGAAAGAAAGACAGAAAGTAAAACTCTAGGTCATAATTACTAGCTGTGTTAACCTTGGGCACTTTAACCTCTTTGTGCTTCAGTTTCCTCATCAGCAAAATGAAGCTAACCAACCTGACAGGGCTGTAGAGCATGAAATGAATTAATGTATGTACAATGCTTAGTACTGTGCTTGGCACATAGTAAGCACTTTTTAAGTGATAGCCATTTTTAACGGATTCTCAGAAAAAAAGGGGGCCTGAGAGGGAGCAGCTAGAGATAAGAGGAAAATTACAAGAGTACGTGGAATTCTAAAGGCTAAGGAAAGAGTTTCAAGAAGGAGGGACTGGTTGATAATATCAAATCTTGCTGAGAAGCTAAGTAAAATAGGAACTGAAAAATGTCCACTGGATTTAGTGATAGTCTTGGAAAGAGCATTTTCAGTGAAGTGACCAGATTCTGGTCAGCTGAGTCAATATAGATAACTCTTTCTAGAAAACATGACTACCAGTATAAAATGGGAAAAGAGGGAGGTAGCTAAGGAGGAATTGAGACTAAGGAAAGACATACACAGTTTTAAAGTTGAGAATGCCTTGAACTTGTATTGTTAGGAAAGAGCCATAGAAGAGGAAATGGTTGAAAATACTAGGGAGATGAGATAACTGATAGAGGACAAATAGAGATAGAATTGCCAAACACAATTTCTGTAAGTTCTGTGAAAATCAAGAATGTGTTTATTTTGTTAACCACTCTTTACCCACGATGGTGCCTGGCAGATGATAAGCATTCAATAAATAGTTGTTGAATGAACTAATGTTTAAACATTAGTTCTTTTACTTTAGTTTAGAACCTTCAGTATAATAGGCATACAAATATGTGCTAACTGAATGTGCTAATATGTAACTGAAGAACAATAATTTATAAGTCTGTGTCTTCTAGGGAAAGATTATAGGAAAAAATACCTGATACATTTATGTAAATTATATTAGATTTCAAAAATAGTCTATTAAAATTCAGTCATGGTATGTCAAGCTTTAAAAATTATTTCTTCTGTTGTATTTAGCAAGTAAGCAAACAAGAATAAAGGTGACTCAAATGTTCAAAAAAATTGCACAGGGACCTCTAAAATAAAAATGGCAAGTAGAAATGTGGTAATAGCAAGCACTTTAATGAAACTTTACTTCAATACTTAAAGTAGCTTTGGTAAAAATGTGAAGAATTTATCTCCAATAAAGAAGTTTAGTATTTGGTCCTGAGAATTATGGGCCAACCGAGATCTGACTCATTGTTTCATGTGTTTTTAAGAAGTGCTGTGACAGGAAGAAAGTTGAAATTTTAGGATTGAGCAGATTCTTCTCTCTTCGGACAAGTTCCCAGCTTAGTTTGGTCTCTTCCTCTTTGCCAATTCCTGGTCCTGACCCTAAGGTGTGGAATGTAGACCAAATGGAGAAAGAGTTGTCTTGGGGCCAACTTTAGATGTTGACGGTGAAATAAAACATTGCTCTTTTCCTTGTACATGGAAGCACTGCAAGGCCAGAGACGTAGAGTTGTGGGTGAAAGGAAATGATTTCCGTCTGTTCATAATTCTGATGCACAAAATATTTGTGTTAATGTAGGATTTACTAACGAGGACCACAATAAATCAATGGAAGATTTTTGGAACTGTAAATTCTAGCTTTGGGGCTGTTCAATCTGAAGTTACTTTTGAAATTAAATGATTTATCAGGGTTGTTTCTCCCGCCCCTCCCTCCCCCCTTAGGCCAGTTATTCTAGCAGTTAATCTTAAATCTGTGCCTGGTTGATCTCTAAGATAATTGCTTTCATCACATAGTTTAACCTCCATCTTCTCCCATCCCAACTTGAAGTGAAGACGGGAGAGAAGCCAGAAGCCTCACTTTCAGTGGCTTAAATAATCATTCTTTCAGTATATATTTCCTGACACTTTTATATGCCAGGTCTTATGCTGAGTACCTGAAATACAAATGATGAATAGTACGTTTCCCTAACTTCAAGGAACTCTTACATACCCACAGTAAGCAAAAGACTGGGAAATAAAATGTTCTTTGTTAGGAAAAGTTGGGGAACTTTGCTTTTTAAGTGTAGCCATTTGAGAAGGCTAGATCAGTTATCCATTCACAATGTGGAATATTACATTATGGATTTGTGTGAAACAGGCATTTCTACAATGAATGTTCCCTTTTAATATCCATTCAAACAGTTCCAAATTTATGCACTTGGCTTTGGACATACTTTTCTGGTGCTGTTAGTTGGTATTATTAGAAATTATTAACAACCAATTGTTAAAGACCACAGGTCATAAGAGGCAATGGCTGTGTGTTCCCAGCTTCTTCCATGTTTTATTTTTATTAAAAAGATTTTTTTGTTTATTGATTTTAGAGAGACAGAGGCAGGAGGGGTTTGTTATTCCATCTATTGGTGCATTCGTTGGTTGTGGTTGCTTCTTATATATTTTTATTGGTTTCAGAAAGGAAGGGAGACAGAGAGAGAGAAACATCAATGATAAGACAATCATTGATTGACTGCCTTCTGCACACTCCCTACTGGGATCAAACCAGCTATGGCTTCTTACATGTTTTAATCATGACCCACTCTGGCCAGGAGAGTTGCCAGGGAATTTGTTAATATTTGGAGCTCTTAATTTTGAATCAGTCAATATTTGTTGCATGCAGTAAATAATTAAAAACGAGGATTATTATAATTTGGTTTCCCAAGTATGGTGAAACTACTAATCTTTTATTATTGTTTGATATATTCTTATTATTTAGAATTAGGATGCTTTTTTCTTTTAAAAAATATATTTCATTGATTTTTAAAAAAATATATATTGATTTTTGTACAGAGAGGAAGGGAGAGAGATAGAGAGTCAGAAACATCGATGAGAGAGAGTCATCGATCAGCTGCCTCTTGCACACCCCCTACTGGGGATATGCCCGCAACCAAGGTATATGCCCTTGCCGGAATCAAACCTGGGACTTTTCAGTCCCCAAGCCAACGCTCTATCCATTGAGTCAAACCAGTCCTGGCTATTTTATTGATTTTTTTACAGAGAGGAAGGGAGAGGGATAGAGAGCCAGAAACATTGATGAGAGAGAAACATCGACCAGTTGTCTCCTGCACATCCCCTACTGGGGATGTGCCCGCAACCAATGTACATGCTCTTGAATGGAATCGAACCTGGGACCTTTCAGTCCACAGGCCGATGCTCTATCCACTGAGCCAAACTGGTTTCGGTAGGATGCTTTTTTCAAAAGAAGAATATTTAATGCTAGATTCCATATCCTAGGGTTTTTTGTTTTGTTTTGATTTTTATAAGAATTTATTTGAACCAAATTGACAACATGCTGAGGAGCAAGATCTCAAATCCTCCCCTATTCTACTTTTGATTCCAAACCTAGTCTTGTTACCAGCTAGATATATAATTTAAGGTCACTGGCTTCTCTCTAATATTTATCTGAATGAGTGTTCTGCTCAAAATAAGTCCTAAAATTCATTCTAGTTCTCATATTTTTTCCTTTAATAGTGTTAAGCTTAAAAAGTATTACACTGAAGAAGCAAGAGTTTGAAAGTAAGGTTCGATATTGGCATTAACGTAACATTTCTGTCTCAGATTTAGTGCTATACAGTGTGCAGCTGCAGTTCCTAGAGCTTCTGAAACCTCATCTTCTGAAAAGTTTGAGCAGTCAAATCTTCAGGTATCAAGTGAAACGCAAGCCACTAGTGAGTTGACTGCCAACGGTCATGGCCCACCTACTTCCAAACAGATTTCCCACCAACCTAAAGGAATTATGGGAATGTTTGCCTCTAAAGCTGCTTCTAAAAACCAAGATACCAACAAGGAAACCAAAACGGAAGCTAAAGAGGTAACAAATGTAAGTCTTCTATAAAGATATGCCTTTCAACTCAGATGGGTAACTAGAAAAGCAATTGTAGTTCCAGTAGTAGTAGTTTGATTATATAAGGGTCTGATATTTAGTTCTACTTTTTATACTTCAGCTTGAATCTTTAATTCTTGATATTTTAATATGAAACAGTCTTTTTCTTTTGATAATGCTTCTCACTAAGCCTTGAGCTACTACGTGGTGGAACCAGCATCAAATTCACTTGTGATGATTACAAATGTAATGTTTTGCAGGTTTTTCCCTATCATGTATCATACAGTCTCTGACCTATTTTAATTTTGTCAAACTAAGTAGTTTTTAAAGTCAGTCAAAATTTTAGAAACATTTATGGTTAATCCTATCTAATAAAGAGGAAATATGCTAATTGATTCTCTGTTGTCACAAAGATGGCGGCACCCACAGCCACTAAGGAGGGAATATGCTAATTGTCCCGCCCTCAAAGATGGCTACGCCCAGTCCCCTCAGCCCCACTGGGGTGGCAGGTGTGCAGCAAGGCTGGGCTCCCCCTCAGGTAGGCCTGGCTGCTCCATGTGCCTGCCTCTGGAGTCCCCCAGTCCCCTCAGCTTCCCAGCTGCTGAGGCACAGGCAAGCCTTGGATGGCAGCTGCCCAGAGCCACCCGAGGCTCAGGTAACCAGGGCCGGCTGAGGCTTGCGTTGCCACCAGTGGCAGCAGCAGAGGTGTGATGGGGGCATCACCTCCTGATCGCCAGGTCGCCTCCTGCTCCTGAGGGTCAGGCCGGGCTGAGGGAACCCCTCGTAGTGCATGAATTTTCATGTACTGGGCCTCTAGTAATTTTATAAGAACTGTGAGAACCTAAGCTTTGGAGATTAATACTGATATTGGTGGGTCTGGATTTATTCTTATATCTAATGCATACACGTTTGGCATGATTATATAGACTGAACCATCACGACAGTGTGCTCTGCTGTTGAAGAAAGTTTATTGGAGACATATTTTGAAGAGCAGCCTAAACACTAAGAAAAAAATTGTGTTTTCTCTTTCTATACTTTTAGGCATCTTCAACAAGCAACAAGGCACCAGGGAAAGGGACTGTTATGAGCAATTTTTTTGGAAAAGCTGCTATGAGTAAGCATGTTCTTACCTTCTTTTTGAATACTAATATATTAATCCTATATAATAAAGATGTAATATGCAGATGTTTGTTACGCTATGAGGCGTAATGACTGACTGCATAATGACCAGATCATGGATCAGCAGGAGAGTAGGTCAGTGAGCTACAAGCGGGCAGCAGAGAGCAACAAGAGGGGCAGGTTAGCAAGCTAAGAAGGGGAGGCCAGGGGGCAGAGGGAGATACAGGAGGGCAGCGGAGAGCTACAGGAGGAGGCAGGGCAGCAAGCTATGAGGGGAGGCCAGAGGGAGGGGGATGGGTGGAAGCTACAGGAGGGCGGGGGAGCAGGCAAAGAGCTACTGGCACACATATTTGTGCACAGGGCTATAAGTCTGTCTGTCTCTCTCTCTCATCTATCTATCTATCTATCTATCTATCTATCTATCTATCTATCTATCTATCTATCATCAATCAATAATCTATGTATATGCCTAAGCCACTATCACAACCTAATGGATGACTGAACAAGCTTTGTGAGGCGACTAGATTGGTAGGAGGGTTAGTGAGGGGTGACCAAACGACCGAGCAGCAGGCTGCATGGGTTGACCAGACCTGCGGGGGGGGGGGGGGGGGGGAGTTTGGGGTGTCCAAGTTAGCGGGGAGGAGGCTGTAAGGGCAACTAGGCCGGCGGGGGTAGGCCCGGCTGGTAGGCCCGGCTGCTCCATGTGCCTGGGGGGGGTGGGGAGGCAGTTGGGGACAACTAGGTCAGCCGGGGCAGGGGGAGGGCAGTTAGGGGCGATCAGGCAGTCAGGCAGGTGAGCAATTAGGAGCCAGTGGTCCCAGGCAGTCGGACATCCCCCTTGGGGTCCCAGATTGGAGAGGGTGCAAGCTGGGATGAAGTGACCTTCCCTCTACCCCCCGTGCATGAAATTCGTTTACTGTGCTTCTAGTATTATAAAAATAACTTACAACCTATCTGCGATGAAAGCCTGCTTTACCCATCTGGGACACTACCATGCAGCATTCCTGGATCTTAGCAACAATTTTCAATATATTAATGAAGTTAACCCAACTGGAATAGTGGATTTTATGAGTGAGTTTGGTTCAGTTTAGATTCTTTGGAGCAGTGGTCGCCAACCTTTCGGACCTACGGATCATCAGTTGGCAACTGCTGGTTTGGAATGTAGTTTACTATTCCTATTTTTACCTCCTGCCTTGAAAAGAAAAAGATAATTTTTTTATAGAGCTCTTGTAAATGGGAATTAAAACAAAAGGGAGGCTTGCTGGTTAGTACAGTGTTGAGGTGTGACCATTACTATCCCTATCTCCCAAGGGGCTGCACAAACAAAGCTTTAGCCTTTCTTTAGTTATTTTTGCAGATTAGACTTCAGTGTGAATTAGAAGTGCTCAGATAGGGATCTAAACTGGCCATTTAAAATTTTCTCCTTTATTAAACTAAAAACAACAACAATTTCTTTCATATGGAAGGAACCAATAGTCCCATATTTTCATACTTATGTCAAGTAAACATCCCCTGAGGGTATGTGGCAAAATATCAGGAAGAATGTAGGAGTTGCAGGATAATTATAGCACACTCTTTTGGAGTGTCAGTTTTATAAAGATTTTGTGGAGAAGCATTTTATTAGGGGCCTATGCAAGCAGAATTAGAATTCTGCTTTTCCATGATGGTCAAATTGGTGGTTGGGAGAGGGGTTGGTATGATAGTTTTTTATTTGTCATAAAAGCTATCCAAGAACATTTTTGTGTTCTGAAAGCATATGGAAAATTTGATACTTTCAGGATATTGGGAAGCACAGTTGTATTCTTGCAAGTACAGTGAACAAGGAGGGCTACCTACTTCTATGAAGACACATCGTGCTAATGTCATTAGCTGGTACAACTGGTACTGCTCTACCCACTGTACCCAATTAGATTGTGTGGTTTCTTGGCAACCTCAGTGAGGTTCACATGTTTGCTTTTTATGCGTCTTAACCTTAATAACCAGTGAATTTTTATTTATTTTAGAGAAGAAGGGAGAGGGAAAGAGAGATAGAAACATCAACGAGGAGAGAAAATCATTGATTGGCTGCCTCCTGCACGCCCTCCTCTGGGGATTGAGCCTGAAACCCAGGCCTATGCCTTGACCTCCTCATTCATAGGTTGACGCTCACCCACTGAGCCACACTGGCAGGGTGAATTTTTAAATTATTTTTAAAATACATAAGATGTGAATATTTGCTAATTGTAAAAAAATAAAATAAAAATCAGCTGCCTCTTCGAGAAAATACCAAATAGCAGATGCTGCTGCTGCTTTGGAAAGACCTGAAAGTGGGGAAATCAAACTAAATAGAAGTATACATTTATTTATTCATGTGAGTTATTTAGCAAGTATTTACTGACATCTATAGTACTATTAGCACTATTATGCATTGGTACTACAATGATCAAAACAGAAGCAAACAAGATTCCTGCCCTCGTGGCCCTTATATTCATTCTCATGGCAGAGACACAAATAAATATAAAAATAATAAAATAGTTAATGATTGTAATTGTTAGGCAGAGAGTAAAGAGTGTTATAATGGGATATAGTAGAAAGAGGAGTAAAACCTAAATAAAATAAAATAATTCAATATCCTGTATAATAAAGGGGTAATATGCAAATCAGCCAAGTGGTGGAATGACCGATTGCTATGATACACACTGACCACCAGGGGGCAGAAGCTTAACATAGGAGCTTCTCCCTGGTGGTCAGTGCACTCCCACAAGGGGAATGTCACTTGGCCAGAAGCCCTGATCTGGACTCATGGCTAGCAAGCACAGTGGCAGTGGCAGGAGCCTCTCCCACCTCCTTAGCAGTTGGACATCCTCCGAGGAGTCCTGGGCTGTAAGAGGGCACAGGCTCGGCTGAGGAACACCACCACCACCCCCCCCCCCCATAGTGCACAAATTTCGTGCACTGGGCCCCCAGTTTACCTAATAAAAAGAATGGCTTACAAAGTTGATTATTTAACATTTTTTTCAAGAATGTTTAGAGTTAAATTATGAATATTTTTATTATATTTAACACATTTTCACTGCAATGAAAATGAAGCTTGAGAGTTAGATGAAGAGAGGTGACTGTGGGAACTTGAATGTTTACAACTTAATGCTGGACAGGCATTGGCAAAGATGTGGAGAAATTGAACTCTCATTCGTTGCTATGGGCAATGAAAAATGGTGTGCTCATTTTAAAAAGAGTATGGCAATACTACAAAAAAATTAAATCTAAAGGTATCCTGCAGTTCCACTGCCAACTATCTACACAAGAATTAAAACTGTATATCCATACAAAACTTGTACACAAATGTTCACAGAAGCATTATTCATAATAGCTAAAAAGTGGAAACAACCCAAAAGTCCATAATTTGATGAATGGATATACTGCAGTGGCTTAGCCACACAGTGGAATATTATTCAGTCAAAAAAGAATGAAGTACTGATACATGCTACAACATGGATGAACTTGAAATATGAGAAATGAAAGGAGCCAAAAATAAAAGGCCTCGTATTATTTGATTCCAGAATAGGCAAATCTGTAAGAGACAGGAAGTAGATTAGTGCTTGTCAAGGTCTGGGAGTGATGAAAAGTTTCTAAAATTGGATACTGGTGGTGGTTACACAAATAAAAGACACTGAATTATACACTTTAAAAGGGTAAATTTTATGATGTGTGATTTATATCTCAATAACAAAAAAATTAATGCCTTTTATGTTAAAACAATTGCAGCTTTGATGACAGTCATTATGTTACTTTTCTTTGCTTGAAAAGTGGTTTTAGCCAAAACCGGTTTGGCTCAATGGATAGAGCATCGGCTTGGGGACTGAAAGGTCCCGGGTTCAATTCCGGTCAAGGGCATGTACCTTCGTTGCGGGCACATCCCCAGTAGGGAGTGTGCAAGAGGCAGCTGATTGATGACTCTCTCTCATCGATGTTTCTAACTCTCTATCTCTCTCCCTTCCTCTCTGTACAAAATCAATAAAAATATATTAAAAAAAAAAAAAGAAAAAAAAAGAAAAAAGAAAAGTGGTTTTATATTCTTTTGAGTATTTTTATATGAGATGCTTTTAATTAATCAAGATGATACTAGTAACTTGACCATTCAGGTAATGAGGAAATGTGATTAAATTTTTCTTAACAGTTGCCTGAAATTGTTACAATAAACTGCCCCTTTACCAGCTAATTGGCCAATTATAATTTTATATGTGCACTAAATTTGTGCACTCAGGGGGAGGGGGGTCTTTTAGCCTGGCCTGCACCCTCTCGCAGTCTGGGAGCCCCATGATTGATTGCCCCGCAGAGGGAGGCTCTGCCCACCAGGCAGGCAGGTAGGTGAGCGATTAGGAGCCAGCAGTCTAGGATTGTGAGTGGGATGTCCTGCTGATTTAGGCCCGATACCCCGGGATCTGGCCTAAACCAACAGTTGGATATCCCCCAGGGGGTCCCAGATTGGAGAGGGTGCAGGCTGGGCTGAGGGGACTTCCCCTCCCCATACACAAATTTCATGCACTGGGCCTCTAGTAGAAAATAAGATCATAGTACAAAATTCTCTTGTCACTATTTGTAAGCTGTGTACTCTTGGGAAACATTTTAAGTCCTCTGACTCTTTAATTCCTCTGAGCTAGTTTCCTCATCTAGCTAATGAGAATAATGATATCTCATTTCTTTCCTAAGCCTTCCTTTTACTATCACTTGCCCTGGGGGCTGTGATATTAAGAGGGATTAGCTGGAGGCAGAAAAGAAAGAGTAATACCCTGTTTTTCCAAAAATAAGACCGTGTCTTATATTAATTTTTTTCTCCCAAAGTTGCGCTAGGTCTTATTTTCAGGGGATGTCTTATTTTCGGGGAAACACGGTAGCTGGAGTGATAGTTGGAAAGGAGAAATGTTTTCTGACTAGACCATGGGCTCTGTTAGGATAGGGACTAGGGACTGTGTTTTTCCCCCTTAGCCTCTCCTCCTAACATGTTACCTGGCACTTCCGTAGTAGGCTGTCAAAGGAATGATAGATTGTTATTGCACAATGGGATTGTACATTGTCTGCTATACTTTATTTGTAGATAAACTGAAAGTCAACTTGGATTCAGAACAAGAAGTGAAAGAAGAAAAAGTAGTGGAACAACCTCTACTGTCTGTCACTGAACCTAAGCTGGCAGCCCCTGCAGGTCTGAAGAAATCCAGCAAAAAAGCAGAGCCTGTTAAGATGCAGCAGAAAGAGAAAAAAAAGTAGGAAAATATTGTCACTTTTGGGGAAAATGTGTTTCTTCTGGGGTTGACAAGGTCTGTCTGGGCTTATTGACAGCAGGCAGTTTTCAGTTGAGCACTAAATCCTATTTAATGCCGTCAGGATACAGCTAATAACCAAAGTGAGGGGGGAAGTTCAATATCTTATCCAGTGAAGGAGACCTAGAATCTGCATTTTAGATCATTTAAAGCCCAAAGTGTATTTTTTGGACTCCATTGGCCTAAATCAATTGTTTTTTCTCCTTTATTTTGAATTTATGGACATGGCATAAGTGTGCCTGATGGTGTGTCTGTTTTTTACTTCAAATTGTAAATGAAAGGTTACCCTTTCCAGTCAAATTTAAGAGAAAAAGTTCTTTGTTTTCTTTTTATATCAATGAGTTTATTTTTCAAGTGGTAAAATGTAATTAGAAAAGAAAATAAAAGCACACAAGCTGTTAAAAATGGATCCAGGAATTTGAGACACTACCTCATAGTTGGTAGGAATTAGTCTGTTGAAATTCTAAAGGACACTGTCAGCACTGATAGGCCCAGAAATACTTGACTTTTGTGGCAAGGTTGGGGATACTCTAATAGAAAACATCAACAAAATGCTAAAGTTTCAGAGGGTCAAGGCTCTGTCCAGTTGGCCTCACCTCCTAGGATTAAAATGTCTCGGCATGGGTACATTTGTTCTTGATGGTTATTGACAGGATTGCATTCAGTATTTCAACACTAAATATAATGTTAACTGTATATTTTTAATAGGTGCCCTTTATTAGATGGAAGACATTCTGTTCCTAGTTTGCTGGGAGGTTTTATTATGAATGGGTGTTGACAGATGGTTTTTCTGCACTTATTGAAATGATCATACAGTGTTTCTGTTAATGTAGTGTATTACATTGGTTGGTTTTCAAATGTTAAACCAACCTTGCATTCTTGGGATAAATCCCAACTTGGTCATGGTCTACTAGTCTTTTTATGTATTGCTGGATTCTACTTAATATTATAAGGATTTTTTGTCCCTACATTTATAAGGATCTTTTCTAGTAGCATTAATCACATTTTAGTATTAGTGATACGCTGACTTCTTAAAATTAGTTGGGAGGAGTTAGTATTCCTCTGTTTTCTATTTGTATATGATATGTATTTCTCTCTTCAAAGTTTGATAAAATTCACAAGTGAATCTGGGCCTGGAGTTTTCTTTTTGGGAATTTTTTTTTAAGAAATGAATTTTATTTCTTTAAATAGAGCTCTTCAAATTTTTTTTTGTTCTTTTTGAATCAGTTTGGTTGTGTTTCTAAAGGAATTTATTTCATCTAAGTTGTTGAGCTTATTGGGTTAAAGTTGTTCATAATATATCCTTATTCTTTGAGTATCTGTAGTTACTACTACAGATTCCTTCATTCTTGTCTTTTTTTTTTTTTTTTATCAGTCTTGTAAAAGGCTTTTTAATTTTATAAATCTTTCCCCCCAAAATAATGACTTTTATCTGTGTTAACTTTCTTTACTTCATTGATTTCTGCTCTTACATTTATTATTTCCTTCTATTTATTTTGGGTTTAATTTGTCTTTTTTGTATCTTAAGATAGAAAAATAAGTTGATACTTAAAGTTACATAAGAAATAAAATAGTTGTAGTTAAAAATTATATCTCTAACACACAGTGGGCTCTTGAATGAATGAGTAATGTGACGGAGTATCCAGAGGAGCTAAATAATGTCAGGATAGGATGGAGTATAAGTTTTTTATTGTTATTAGAATCACCTTGAGCTCTTATGCTTTTGGTCATATTGGTTTTTTTTTTTTTTTTTTTTTTTTTTCTCTATATGTTCCCCTTTTCTATCTGATGAACTTATACTTTTAAAATTTTCAAGTAAGACTCATAACATTTGTCTGGAAAAATGATCACATTGTATTATAGTAGTGTTTATATCAGTCTTTCCAGTTAAGGCTCCTTTGAGAACAATATTTTCTTGATCTTTATAGCCTCATTGTTTAGCAAAGTGCCTCATATATGTAGGTAGTAGCTGCTTATTAAATGCTTGTTGAATTATTGAAAGGCCAATAGGGGCAGTAAGAATTTAGGAAAATGCTCAATAATCTGGTAGTAGTTTCCAGTGGTCTTTAGAGAGCTAGAGAAATTTTTTATTCTGGTCATCCCATGAAGTAACCTAGTTGCGGTCAGTTAGCCTTAAAAATAATTCTTACTGACTTTTCTGTTCTCTGGAATTAAGACCATGAGTTATGAAGCAAGACCCATAGTAGCATATGAATACTTATAATTTTATTTCTGTGTAACATGCTTAAATTTTTCCTGGATGGCCACAGGGGAAAGCGAGTGGAGTTCTCTGATGATGAGACAAAAGAAACTGTAAACATGAAGAAAAAGAGGAGAAGACTTAAACTTCCCGAGTCTGATAGCAGTGAAGATGAAGGTGAGTATTGCTATTAATTTTTGGCTAGTAGGATTGTCTGTCAGTTCAGCCTGTTATAACAAAAATACCGTAGAGTGGGTGGCTTACACAATGGAAATTTATTCCTCACAGTTTTGTAGGCTGAGAAGTCCAAAATGAGGATACTGGCTCATTCAGTTCCTAATGAGAGAGCTCTTCCCGGTTTGCAGAAGAACCTTTTTTGCTCTGTCCTTACATGGCAGGAAGAGAAATCCTCTTATGTCTCTTGTAAAGGCACTAATCTCATTCATTCGGCCCCATTCGCTTGATTCAGTTACTTCCCAAAATCCTATTAAGGATTGGGGCTTCAACATAGGAATTTGGGGGAAACATAAACATTTAGTCCATAGAAGGGGTGAGTTTGTATTATGATGCTCAAGGAGCTAAAAAGTAATTTAGTATGGGTCACAACTACTCTAGTAATCCTAGCATTCAGACACACATTTCTGTTTAAAATCTACTTTAGCCTTTTTACCAGAACTACCATTTTCTTGTAATTTGCCGAAATAACAGATACAAAGGAAAAGAAAATAAGGACTATTAACATATATCATCAAAGACCTTTTTATTTATTTTTAAATTTAAATTTCTTTTTCAATTGCAGTTTACATTTAGTATTATTCTGTATTAGTTTTAGATGTGCAGCATAGTGGTTAGATTACAATATACTTTACAAAGTGGTCCCCTGATATTTCAAGTACCCCCTTGGAACTGTGCATAGTTATTACAATAATGTTATGTTCCCTGTGCTGTACTTATATCTCCAGGACATTTTTGTAACTACCAATTTGTAATTATGAATCCCTTCATCTTTTTCACCCAGCCCCACAAACACCACTGCCGCCACCATCCTTGCACTGTCCCCCCATCTGTTTGTTTTCTGTATCTGGGAGTCTGTTTCTATTTTGTTTGTTCATTTATTTTGCCCTATAGATTCCACATATAAGTGAAATCATATAGTACTTATCTTTCTCTTATTTTACTTAGCATAATACCTTCCAGGTCCATTCGTGCTATTGCAAATGGTAGAATTTCATTCTTTTTTATGGCCAAATAATATTCCATTGTATATATGTACCAACGCTTTTTTTATCCACTCATCTATTGATGAGCACATATCTTTGCTATCTATGTATATAAAAGGCTAATATGCTAAGTTTCTGTCCAGGTAATGACATCACATAGCAATGCCTGGCTTCCTTTCCCTACTGACGACTAGCCTCCTTGCAATTTCTTCAGCCCAGGAACACAACTTGTTTTATAGCCAGGTGGAAACATTTTACACTGTAACAAAATGTGAAGCATTTTCCTGTGCCTCATCTCATTTGATCCTCACAGAAGTCCTGGAGTGGGTAGACAGGAGACTCAGTGGAATCCTATTTTCTTTTCATGAGCTGGAAAATGGAGATTTAGAAAGCTTAGAAATTTGACCCTACTGAAAGAAATGGTGGACCTTGAAAATAACTTAAGGTTTTCTCACTGCGCAGAATATAGTCAAATACTGCTGCAGTTAAATATTTTATCCTTTGTTCTCCCTGCGTGATCTACCCATTTTTTAAATTGAATTGTTTGGGTTTTTGGGGGGTGTTGTATGAGTCCCTCTGGCCTCTAGTGTTATATTTTGAGAAATCAGTGGATAGACTTATGGGAGCTCACTTGTAGTTAATTAACTATCTTTCTCTTGCAGTTTATAATATTTCTCTTTGTCTTTAACCTTTGCCATTTTAATTATGAAGTGTCTTAATGTGGATGGGACTCTTTGGTTCTTTTTGAGATTCTCTGGACTTCCTGACATGTGTGCCTTTTTTCTTCATCAAGTTAGGAACATAGTTTTCAGTTATTATTTCTTCAAATAGGTTCTCAATTCCTTTGTCTCTTTTCCTCCATTATCCCTATGATGCAGATGATATAATGCTTGATGTTGTCCGATAGGCCCCTTACACTCATTTTTTTCTTTTTGCTGTTCTGAATGTGTGTCTTCTGTTACGTTGTCTTCCAAATGGCCGATTTGACTCACTACCACATCTAATCTGCTGCTCATTCCTTCTAGTGTAGTATTCATTTCAGTTATTGTATTATTCATTTTTGACTGGCTCCTTTTTATGGTTTCTATATCATTTGTTTATGCTTACTACCTCTTTATTACAGTTTTCACTGAGTTCCTCCCTTCATTCCCTAAGTTCTTTGAGCATCCTAGCCTCACTGATACATCTGAGTACACTCGTGTTTCTGCATCTGAGTATTGCTGACTAGTCACGGGTTAACTTGTGTTTCCTTCCCAAATTGCATTGACTGGTCACAGATAACTCGTGTCTACACTTACATTAATTTAAGGTCTGAAAGCAATGTAGAGTTTTAATAGAGAGATCTAGACTTTTTTCTTAGTTATCTCTGTTTAGGCTCAGATTACAAGAGGTGTGAGATATGAGCCACTTCATCACTTGGCACTTTTTTGGCCGTTCCTCGTTTTCCTCTTCATTATGTGTCCCTAGTTTTCCTCAACTCATGAGTCAGTATTTCAAGAGATGTGACAAGCAATACATCTAATTCTTTCCATCCATCTTTTATTATGGCAAAAGTTTTTAAAAAGACATGTCACAACAGAGAAGAACTTTTGAACAAATTATGTACAGACACTATTTGATTGGTCGAGTGACTTTGGTGGTCAGTTGGAAGACAGTAGTATTTTATTGGAAGTAGTATTTTATTAAGCCTGACATTAGACCATCACAAAGATAAAAGAGAAATGTGATAATATCTGATAGCGAAAGTGATTCTGAAGAAGTATGGACAGAAAAAGACATTTACCAGCTTTGGAAGTTTATATAAGTATTTCAGGCATAACTGTTCAATTTGAAGATCCACGAAGTATAAGTGAAGTAACCAATTTATTTTTTATAAAGAGTTTTTCAATCTTTTTTTTTTTTTTTAAATATATTTTATTGATTTTATACAGAGAGGAAGGGAGAGAGATAGAGAGTTAGAAACATCGATGAGAGAGTGTCATTGATCAGCTGCCTCTTGCACACCCCCTACTGGGGATATGCCCGCAACCAAGGTACATGCCCTTGACCAGAATCGAACCCGGGACCCTTCAGTCCCCAAGCCGACGCTCTATCCATTGAGCCAAACTGGTCCCTGCTCAATCTTCTTTTCAAACCAATTTCATCATCAAATGGAAATATACCACAAAACCTCTGCTAAAACTTCACCATGGATGGACATTACTTATATGGATATAAACAAGTTTCTTGGTTTAATATTATTGATGGGACTAATGAAGAAGCCAGAATGGAAAGATCCTTTACTTGAATCAACCATATTTCCAAAACCCATCAGGGGTTTGAGTATATACTTACACTCTTTCATCTGAACGACAATTCACAAATGGCATGTAACAGACCATCTTTACAAAGTTAGACCTTTTTTGAAATTTATATCTTACGTATGCCAAAACACCAGTTATCACTCATTGAAGCATTAACTCTATGGAGAGGACTCTAGTGCAGGTCAGTGTTGGACACTGCCTGTGACTGGCACTGGGCTACCAATTAGGAGCTACAAAGTGATCCACAGTTGGTAGCCACCTCTGCTGGGCCAAGGTGCATGTGGGAAGGGCCACGCTTCATACTGAGGCCTGCCTCCACCAGTACCCAGCCTGGAGTAGGTCATCAAAAGGCTCAGGGTACTCCTGGGTCCGGCTCCACCTGCTGGCTGTCTATTGGTTTTAGTTACTAAAAGAGCCCGTAGTGGTACATGAATTACTTAAAGCAGGTTCTCAATGAGTCGGGGCATGGTGTTCACACCAGGATGATAAACATTCAAACTTGGCATCAGTGGGTCTGAGGCCACTCAGCAAAAGTCTCAGAGTACACCAAGACCATCTGAAGATCTTTTCTTTTCCAAAAAATAAACCGGAGATGTTCCATTCATGTGAATCTTTAAAAACAGGTTATATTGTAGGCATCAAGGGTGTTGGTGACGTTCCACACTATATAAGTAAAACCATGCTAAAATGAAGAATCTATAGTGTCATCATTGAAAGAGAATGATGTCATGGGCCCATCCAGTTTTAAGATATAGACACTTTTGTAAGATAAACAATAAGGGCAAGATTCTCACCTAGAAAATTAATGTAAATTGAATTCATTCCAGACCCCAAATGATTCTGTTTTAATCTTCTATATACAGTACTAAGGGCCAAGTGCACAAATTCATGCACCTTAAAAGGAACTGTGGGCTGCAAGCTGTGATGGGCACAGGGGCAGGTCTTGGCCTATCCTCCATGCCCCCACCTGGCCCCTCCCACCGCAGGCCCCTGTCTACTGGCAGCCCTGCTCCTCCCATCGCCCCCTCACTGCCCCCCTCTGCCAGCCTGGTCGCCCCTCACTGCCCCCCTCTGCTGGCCTGGTCGCCCCACGCAGCCTGCTGTTCCATTTATTTGGTCGCCTCTCACTGTTCTCCCACCCCCTCCATCCTGCCCTGTGCTGGCCTGGTCACTCCACACAGCCTGCAGTTACATGAGTCCCTTTTTGCACATCCTTTTATTAGTATAGATTCTCCATGAATTCTTGTCGTAATGGGTATAAAACATTTGAGGTAATGGGAGGGAAGAGGAATACTAGTCCAAAGGAATTCAGTATCATGTAAAGGTACATAGACAAAAACAAACAAATTGATGCTAAGAGATATTAAAGAAGAAAAATGAGTGGGGGAATTAAAAAGGAACTTGCTATGCTGTTGAAGGACAAAACTAAACTTGTTAGATTCTACTTTTAGAAACTATAAGAACTGGAAATGATAACATAAGTTCTCCAAAAGGGGATATTAGCCCAAGCATGCCTCCTGTTCTTGAGTGGGGGAAAAAAAGTATATATTGATGACAATAATGCAAAAGAAAGGAATAGATCTAAGAAACTGTACAAAAAGTTGAATCTGGCTATGACAGGAGGTACATCTTTTGACGCTTCCATGGGTTTAGATCTTCCCAGTCGTGCTTACATGTTCAAGTTTTTGGAACAGTGAGAGGTACAGTGCGTAACAGAGCCATGGTTTTTTAATGAATCCTTGGAATGGGTAGGGAGAATGCATTATGGGCATCCCAGAGGGGTTTGCTGTATACTTATTCTGTGGCATTTATCAAAAATGCTTTGACTACGACTACTTAAAGGAAAACTCCCAAGTGTGTAGATGAAACAGCAATCAAGGAACATTCTGAATAGTTAAGAATTGAGAAAATAGAGGCGATTCTCTGCAGACACATGGGAAAATAATTAGGAGGAACTGAGGGATATATATTAATTGGAACAGTCTTCCCTGTTTTCAACCAGGAAAAGAACTTGGGGAAGATTCTGTAAAAGTCTTTGAAGCCATGAGCCTAATGTATATTAGAAGGGAAACTAGATACTCCAGTATTATTAGTAAAGGAGTCAGCCTCTAAGACAAGGAATTACTGTGGTTGGTTGAGCACTCATTACATACTTTTGAAATAATCTCTGTGATTCTGACCCTTAGCCCACAACAATTATACCCATGGGTGATATGGAATATGAGTGAGAAGAAATGTGATAGAAATGGACAACCTATAGTAACAGATGATGTAAAGCAGAGGCTCTCGGATTTTTGCTCTGGCATAAATAATTTTTGGCATCTGAATAAATTTATAAACCATGGCCATTTTACTTCTAAATTTCTTTGTCTCAAAGCCAGTGGGATTTTATTTTAAACCTTTCCACAGTCTCTAACCTATTCTTGTTGTATTTCCGTTACCCTGAATATGTGCCGTTTAGTATGCTGTTTGAAGCTCACAGTTAGCACATAAGCAGCAGGAGTGGATTTCCTGGGGACTTTGGAGTCAGACAGTCTGCGTTTAAATCTTACCTCACCACTTACTGTGTGACCCTTTAGACAGATTATCAACTTCTTCAGTTCCTTGTTTTCTCGTCTCTAAAATGGAGATATTATTAGAAACCGTGTAGGCTTTTTATGAACATCAAATAAAGCAATGTGTCGAAAGTGCCAGGAGAGCCTGACAGGTGTGGCAGTTGAAGGATGACTCAGGAGCCAAGAGATCTTCTGGCCGATTCCCTGTCAGGGCTCATGCTTGGGTTGTGGGCCTCTATTCCCAGTAGGGAGTGTGCAGGAGAAAGCTGATCAATGATATTCTCTCTCTCTCCTCTCTCTCTCTCTCTCTCTCTCTCCCTTCCTTTCTAAAAAATCAAAAAACATACTAAAATAAAAAAAGAAAGGATAAAAATAATGCCAGGAAAGTGCTTGACACAGACTAGGTTTTCTTCTTATCCCCCCACTTTTCCTGTTGAGATGATTAGTAATTAACAGTAATAATAAGTAATATATTCATCCTGCCTTCTCTCAGGAAGTTCCCACCTCCATATCCTTAAGAGGCTCTTCCTTTCTTCTCTCCCTGGCAGTCGGCACTTTTCGCAGTTACTCTCTTCGTAAAGTGTAAGAGAAGGCTGAATACAGAAAGGAGTAACATTAAGAACTACGGTGCTAGGAAATAGTTTTAACCAATATGCTTGTCTTTGCTAAACATTTTCAGTCCTTCCAGATTGCTTATGGAGAATGTTAAGCAAATGACCCCCTTTGGAAGGTTAAGATGGGTAGAAAAAAAATCTCCTAGGAAGCTATGATTTCCAGGAATTCTAATTACCAGTCACTGCCAGAAAGTTCTGATCAACAGTGGTTACTTTGCTGGATCCCTAAAATCCATTTTATTACAGTCTTGTTCTGTTCTCAGCAAACGGTGCTTTCTTTTGTTGAAAGCAGTGTAAGTGATGTTTTACTACTTGTGTGCTTTTTATCCGAAAAACTGCAAATTTGTTAGTTATACAGGGTGGGGCAAAAGTAGGTTTACAATTGTTTGTATAGAAAATAATACAATAATTTATGAATATATACAAGAATAAACTTGGCCTGGCCAAACTAGCTAGGGCATGTTTGTTTTTTTGTTGTTTTGTTTTGTTTTAATGTCTTTGAATGAAACCTCAGTTTAAAACAAATAATAATTACTTTGTGGGGTTATTATGAGAATGAATGATTGTAAAGTCCAGAAAATTTTAGTTGTTTTTCCCTGTCATTTCTTCCTGAAAATATTTTCATTAAAAATGGTTTTAAAGTTAATACCTATATACAATTTCAAAAATCACATCAAATGGAAGTTTTATAATATACAGTAACCTCTCCTATCTGACTCTTCAACTGGTTGGTGCTTCTTTTGTCAGCCTTCTGTCAGCCATTGCCTTCTGTCTTCCAGGGATTTGTTGAAATTTTGTACTCATTAAGAGCTCTTGGCTCCTCTTTTGTTCTCTTCCTTGGCATGAGGGGGGGTATTTATATCTTCATTCCTTTATCATTATAATGTTTTTCTCTGGGGTGAGTAGAAAGGGAGGTATATGCTGAATCTTCCTTGACAGAGAAGCCCCCATCTCAGATTTAGTTCAGAAAATTATTTTATTTAAAAATAAGGTATGGTTGCTGTGTGTTCAGTGCCAGTGAAGTCATGGTACCTATGCCTCTGGAGCTTAGAGTCTGGAGGGGGGGATCTGGATGAACAGTTTCATACGTTGCAGTGAAAAGGGGTCTTAGAAGGTGCCACCAGCATTAAGTGCTTTCCTTGCTTAAGTCAGGTAGGTAACCGAACTGTAAACAGAGTAAGTACTCCCGAGTTTATTACTGTGAGTCCTCAGAATTCCTTTTCTTTGGCTCCCTTACTGCATAAACTTTTCTCCTGCTACGGTAACACATTGGGACAGTTTTCTTAATAGTTATAGGTCAGAAAAAATGGTGCTCTGTCCTGTGGTTCAACTTTCCTTTTGCTTGTTTGAGCACCCCTCAGGTTCTAGCCTCCCATAGCTGGGATAATAGCTGGACCACTTTCTTTTTATGTGTCTCTCGTGTCCCAGAGCCTATAAAGTTTGGGGGCCCATTTCATACTTGAAGTGCATATTTATTGTTTTTGTTCTGGCTCTCATTCTGCTTCATCTCTTTAGGTCATTTGGCCTTAGACCCTCCACTGTCATAATTTTTAACACTGACCTAATCAGTTGGGAGGATTTCAGATCCAAGACTTGTGCTAAGAATTTGAATACGCCAGGCCATTCAGGGAGCAGGTGTGGCTAAGCAGCTACCCAGGCCCTCGACCAGCAGTTTCTTTGTGGTGATTAAGCAATAGGTCAGCTGAGGATTTTCACTTCCCCTCTCATGGGCCTTCTACTAAGACCACTGTTTGGAAAGGATGGGATCCTCCTGGTGGCGCTCTCTTCTCGGTGATATCACTTCTTTAGCAAGGTTTCTTTCAGAAAAGTGTTCTTAGATTATAGCAAAACAGGCCTCGTCAGTGGGGCCATCACTAGAAATAGTTCCCATACAGCAGGAGTGGGGCACTCCCTTCTCCCCTCCCCCAAGGACCCGTTGGATATTTATAACATAATTTGTGGGCCATATAAAATTATCAACTTAAAAATCAGCCTGCTATCTTGGGTCAAACATTAAATTAACTCATCCCTATTACCTTGGCAGGGCCAGACCAAATGATTTTGCAGGCCTGATAGAGCCTGTGGGTCAGGTGTTCCCCATGCCTGCCTTACAGCATAATAAACAGGTCTTAGTTCTTAGAGCTCCAATTGTGATAATTTCAAAGGGGCCCCAAGTTTATGCTTTTAACATCAGCTGGAAAGTTTCAGTCTAAGAAACATCTCACGTGATTGCAAAGAATCCTCAGACCACAGTCACAAAGACTCTGTCATGGGACAGATGGTATAATCTGAGATTATCTCCATTTTCTTGATCTTAAGAGAAAATGTCTGGTCCCGAATGGTAAGGCAGCATGGGATAGTTGGAGTAAGGTTGAGAAATCAGATGGACTTACTTTAAAACCTGCCTCAGTTGCAAGTTCTGTGACCTTGTCTAACCTCTCTGAACCTCTGTTTACTCAATTCTAATGTGTGAATAATATTTGTCTCTTAGGATTGTTGTAAGGATAAAGTGAAACAATGTATGTGATATCCATGACTCAGTAAGTGATCAGTGGATATTTATAAAACAACTTCATACATGACATTTTTGTAAAATAAGATTTAGCTAAGATCATCTCTAAGGTACATTCCACCTCTAATAATTCTTGATTGTCTAATTTTCTTCGTATAAAATTAATATGTATATTTTAAAGATATATTTGTATAGAGATATATTAACTACAGAATCCTTGGTTGTCACGAATTACTGCCTGCAGAATGTCCTTTGCTGGATCTGGAAACTGAGCCAGTGGAGTAGACGATGTACCAGATAGTGCCTGTAGTTTTCTTATCTAAGCTGTTTCATAATTTCAGTTGTACCAGATTCTCCTGGGATTTATGAAGCTGAGTCACCATCCCCACCTCCTTTTGCGTCTTCACCTCCTGAACCAGCGACGAAGACTGAGCCAGAGCCTCCTTCTGTCAAGGTACAACTTTACTGGGATGGCTGCCTTTCCATGTGTTCTTTTTCACCCAAGGACCTAAATCTGTTCTCTGCTGTATACTTCACAAATGCCAGTAGATGGCTCTTGTCTCGTTCTCTCCTATAAGTGGTAAGAAGACATGGTTGACATTCCCTGTCTTCTCACTTGACGTGAGATTTCAGCTGTAGGTCAAAGTCTCAGAGGGAGCTCTGTTTTCCCTGATCTCCAGCATCAGGGCTGCTGTGCTACCCAACTCCCTTTGGAATTGTGCAAAATGAGGTCTTGCCTGCATCAGAGCAAAGTGTGTGAAAGATAGAGCACAAACAGCTTATGCATGTTGGCTACTCTTCTGGAAAAGGGCTGGATGAGAAAAGCTGGCAACAAATGGGGAAATGCAGTTTTGAGTGATCTCTAGCTGCACCTTGTCTATAGCTGTTAGTGTAAATAATGAAGAGTTGAGAAGAAAGGTGCTGACAAGTTTCTTTTTCCTTTGTCATTCTTCCTGAATTCATTGTATTAAAGACTGTCATTTAAATTTTGCATTGATTTCTTCATTATCTAAAGAGCATATGGGATTAAAGACCAGTGGAGATAAAGTAAAATACCAGTTTGAGACTAAATTAGACGGGCCTATCTTGCAGTGGCAAGGCTGAAATAGCCAGTATCTACAGCAGGGGCAGATGTCGCGAAAACCTCTGGACTGTTTAGGGGCCTTCCCTGTGTGCTCCCATAATCCCTCTCTTGGCTCTCCAGTAGCGGCCTGTCTTCTCCATTAAGGTTCTTGTCCTATTGGTCTTTTTAACCCATGGTGCCCGCACTGCTCAACAGAGTGCTGACTGAACACAGATGTTTGCTCAATATGTTCCTTTTCTTCTCATAAACAATGAAACATGAACTGGCACACGCAACGACCATAACTTGTCTGTGTGGTAGGGCTAGTCCTCTAAAGGAAATGTATTGAATTCCTTGTTCAGCTTACCATCATGGAGTATTGGAGATTGCTTGTTATAAATTAAACTTCTATTCTTCTTTGTAGTTTTATTGGTCACCTTAATGTTATCTCTGGTCTTTCAGAGCTTAAGTGGAGAAAACAAAAGAAAACGAAAGCGGGTGCTGAAATCTAAAACCTTTGTGGATGAGGACGGCTGCATAGGTAAGAAGAATTTGGAATCCCAAATTCAGAGATAGTTATTACCTCAGAGAGGCACCATGGTCCTTTATAGAGCAGCGTGCATGTGAGCCCCACCCCAACCCCCGGCGGTGCCCTGCTGCCTGTCCTGGCCCACACTGGAATAGCATGGTATGAGACCACTACAGCTACAGGTAAACGCCTGCTCTTGTCTGGACCATGCACTACAGAAATAAGCTTTGAGATCCTGGATGAAAGTTGTCACCTCTGGTGGGGAATTTGATCTACGGAATGGAGGTAAATTTCCTTATTTTGCCTTCATGTGGGTTGTTGTGAAGATTCAGGTGAGGTAATATATCTAAAAACACTTTCAAGATGGAAATTATAATACCAGCTTAAGATTTTATCATTGACTCAAAACCAAAATATTGGGTTTTTTTTTTTTTTTTTAGAATGGTCGTTTTATACATTTGAACAGTGGAAAAGGAGCTCCTACAGATGATTAGACTGAGGAGAGAGTCATGAGTCTTTGGTATTTTGTTCTATTTGTTCTTCATAGAGGTTTGACTCTTCCAAATCACTTCTTTAATATTTCCTAACATGTAAATCATATTAGGTAAATGGATGTGTTTTTTATGGAGGCCTAGAGGGGAACAGAATTTAGGCTTTGAAACAACCTAAGTATCCATTGACAGATGAATGAATGAATGAATGAATGAAGAAGTTGGGGTGTGTGTGTACAGAATATTATTCAGCCATATGAAGCTCTAGCTTGTTTGGCTCAGTGGGTAGGGTGTCAGCCTGCAGACTGAACAGTCAAAGGCACATGCCCGGGTTTGTGGGCTCAATCCCCAGTTCAGGGCCTGTAGGAGGGAGCCGATCAATGATTCACCTTTGGTGTTTCTGCCTCTCTCTCCCTCTGCCTTCCTCTCTGAAATCAAAATGTATATAAATAAATCCTGCCATGTGTGACAACATGGGCAGACCTTGAGGGTCAAACCATAAATCAGACAAAGAAAGACAAATACTGTGTGATCTCTTTTACATGTGGAACCTAAAAAAACAACTCATAGACAAAGCAATCAGATTTGTGGTTACCAGAGGCCAGGGGAATAGGAAAAAGTTGGTTAAAAAGTACAAATTCCTACTTACAAGGTAAGTAAGTACTAGGGATGTATGTACAGCATGATGATATTGTTAACACTGCTCTATGGTGTATCTGAAAGTAAAGAATGTATCTGAAGTTTTCACGAAGAAAAAACTTTTGCTTTCTCTTTTTGTTTACCTATATGAGATAATAGACGTTACCTACTAACTAAACCTACAGCGGTTATCATTTCACAATATACAGTGGTGTACTTCAATTTTAAGAAAGAATCCAGGCTTTGAGTCATTGGCTTATTCTTCAGCCATGTTTTAGCTTGTTGTGCCTTTTCCACAAACGAACCGTACTTCTGTGGGGCTTTCAGGCGTGGCCTGATGGGATGCTCAGATCCTAGCACCGTGTGTCTGTGTTTAAACCTGCTGTTAATTGGATTAGCTCATAATTGTTGTTTCTTCTCTCCTGTGGCACCTGCCGCAGCTTGATTCTCCTAGAGAAGTATTTTTTCCCTTTTCTTGTTCAAATTTTTGTCTTAAAAATATTGACTGAAGAATCAGTTTTTCCCACGCATTGTGGTTGTTAAAACTAGTGAAGACATAAACTGTGAACCTGGTCCCATTATTTCCCACCTCCCATTCCTTTGAAAAGGTCTCTGACATTTTAATTGTAGCATGTGATTGGGGAAGAAAATTCCTTACATGTGGAAATTCTGTCTTTGCAGTGCCAGGTTTATTGTGAGCCTGTGAATTCTGAACTTTGAGTAGTAGTCTTTTTTTGTTTTGAGGTTTGACAGTTGGTAGTAATATATGTATTTTCTGTTAAATTTCTTATTCTTTCTTTTAACTATAAGAGGACAAAAGCTCCAGTGCTAGTTTCTTTCTCCTCCTACTCCAAAATAAGTGTCACATAAATCTTTGTGAGCGTTCATTGGGAATTTGCGGCTTTACGTTTGGCCAGCTGTGGGATGTGGACCTTTTTGCAGTTCCGTCTTCAGACAGGACTTGAAGAGCCTTGGATGCAACAATGAAAACTATGCTCACATAGCAGTTTGGTGTGTTTTTTTTTTTTTTAAAGCTTTTTAGTCCAAGTTCAACCTAATGAATCTTGGCTTCCATTACTGACAAAGGAGCTCGGCTTTCCTCTCTCTGCCCAGACTGTTCCAGATGTATCGGCACAGTGGCTGCCCCGTCTTGTGCTGGACCAGAGCTGGTCTCTGGGTTTACTGCAGGGACTGATAAGTTTGTGGTGGACTTCTGGACAAGGTGAATTTCTAAAGCAAAACAGTTGGTTGAAAAGGATTCTGATGTTTTACCCATGCAAAATGGACCTTTTTATCTTTTTCAAACTGGGACTTTTAAAATGGTATCTGAGAAAAGTGGCCTGTTATTCAGCTAAAATAAAGATCCTATATTTTTAACTTAAAATCCCTTTTGGCCTGTAGTTTGAAGGAGCTACAGCTTTTAGTATAGAAAATGTTCCTTTTAGCTCGTAAGGTATACTCAGTGTGCTGCCCTGACTGGTTTTTAACCCCACCCCCGAGCAATCTCTTGTGCAAATTTGGCAATGAGACAACCAGTGGTTTCATTAGGAAGTAATGAAATAATGAGCTAATTGATGCTGGAGTTTAATATTATAGACATGCTGCCATTTGAATACAGAATGTAGCTTATGAAGGAGCAATTAGTAAGTTGTTTCCTTTCTCTGTATAGATGCTCTTTAGACTTTGAGATACTGAGTAAAAAACAGCTCTTAATTTTGTTCCAGTAATCTAGTTACATAATGCTTTTGAAGTTGTGTACAAGATGGGGATGGTCTTATAGGATTGTAACTGCTGAACTAATAGGTATATCAAGGAAATATCCTATATACCTAAGTATTTTAGAGCAACATTTCTCAAACTTTGAGTAGATGCATGACTTGAAACCTTGCTAACATTCAGATTTTGATTCAGTAGAACCTGAGATTCTGCATTTCTAATGAGCTCATGGGAGTTTTAATGCCTCTCGTCTGTGGAACAAAGTTGAGTAGGAAGCCTCTGAGAACACTTAATACATATTTAACGCTTATCAGTGTTTTTAGCCTCTAAGTTGGCAGGAGTCAGCAAAGTAAATTCTGGGCTCTTGAAAGTAATGACACATCCTGGCAACTCTTGGGGAGGGGACTGTTAATTATGCAACCTTAATGACATCAGAGGGAATGAAGCGAAGGAGTAGCCAGTTGACCGCCAGCGTAGCCCATTGCGAGAGAGAGAAAGTAGCATTGAAGGATGCTTGCCAAAGATTACTACGTGCATCTGTGTGTTCTGTGAGGCAGTGTAATTCCCACTTAATGGAAGGCAAGGGAAGCAACTCCCACGACGAGGTCCCAGACCTACTGGATGTGAACTCTGGACATGGAGTCTGTGTTCTAATGAGCCCTCCAGGTGATTCTGATGCACGGCAAAGTTTGAAATTGTATAAATGGCAGACCAGGAATTAGAACACAGATATACTGATTCCAATGCTTATGCCTATAGAACCATTTGACTAATACATTTTATTAGAAATGGTCAGTAATTGTGAGCTTAAAACTATGCTTGTTCTTAAATGGGAAAAAAATACCTTTCACTTTAATCATCTGAGTTTTTATTATGTATATTGGGTGATTCTATTCAGCTAAGAAAAGATGTTTTTTTTTACCATCATTTGTTGCAACCAGAAGTCTGTGGGAGAATTTAGATGACATTGGCTATACAGCTGCTTCAGCTCTCAAGTCATAGGAAGGTGTCGGTTCCGTTTCTTGTATTGGCATATGCATTGCAATAATATCAGTTCTGTGACATGGTCTGTGACCTTTGGGGCTTTCTTATAATGTCTGTTCACTAGTATAATGCTTTTCATTAGGCAGGTTTCAGTGAGTTTTATTGGCTGATATGGAGTAAGAGAATTGGTAACTATGCTTCTCATTGTATTGTGGTCATTCCTTGAAACTATCAAGTTTGTCATTTGATAGAATTTGCTTGGGACAGTTCTCTTTATGATGTAAACTTAGACCACGTAAATCTTGGGTTAATTAGCAGTCATTCAAAACCAAGAACTGAACAATTGAGTAGCTAATCTCTAATTCTCTGTACTTTGGATGTGCAGAGAGTGAGAGACATCAGGATAGAGCTAGTCAGAGAGTCCATGGCGGGGAGCCTGGCTAAACAGGATCAAAATTGCCAATAGAGCAGAGATTAAGACCAGGAAAATGATCAGTGGAAATAGGCAGGCATCACTTAGAGCTCAGGAAATTAGCTAGCTTAGAGCAAGACCCAAAAGCAGGATTAGGGCAGTCAAATGATAAAGGCCTGGGATGGCCCCGCCTGGCTCAGGGGTTGAAAATAGGCCTATGAACCAGGAGGTCACCATTTGATTCACTTGTCTGGGTTGTTGGCTTGATCCCCAGAGGGGGGTGTGCAGGAGGCAGCCATTCAATAATCCTCTCTCATTGATGTTTCTCTCTCTCCCTTCCTCTCTAAAATCAATAAAAATATATTTAAAATAAATAAAGGAATGGGACATAGCATTGAGGGAACAAGGGTAAGTATTGATTCTGAACCCCAACTAGAGACTGTGATCTCAAGATGCCACATACTTCCTACCTGAGGCTGGATCTGATCTGCCAGGGGGAGAAAACTTTGGTAGTAGATGAGCACACCTTCCTTGATTGGAGTGTCCGAGGGGATCTGGGAGGACAAGACTTCTCATTCTTTTGATAGAATAGTATTCTAAATGACTCAGTCCACTCATGTTCCATTTTTTCCCCTTATTCTATCAGTGACTGAAAAAGTCTACGAGAGTGAATCCTGCACAGACAGTGAAGAGGAACTTAAGGTGAAGACATCTTCAACACACAGACCCCCAGCAATGACTGTGAAAAAAGAACCCAAAGAGGAACGAAAGGGCCCCAAGAAAGGGACTGCTGCTCTGGGCAAAGCCAATAGACAGGTGTCCATTACTGGCTTCTTCCAGAGGAAATGAGCTGCCGTCTCTGGAGGGCAGAGATGGGGAGTGGTCAGGGAGAAGACCAAGACATACAGACTCTCGCTTACTGTGTAAGTTCACCCAGCGCCTCACCTCACCTCTGTCAGAAGATGTTCTTCCATCTTGAAGGGTTTGTACTGCCGGCTTTTAACCAAAAAGAAATCACCTGGAAGCAAGAGGCAAACGAATATTTAAAAAACTGTTACCTTCGAATGACATTTTTAAAGCACAATCTTTGACCTGTCCAGGAGAAGATCTTCTCAACAACAAAAAATTAGAACAGGTTTCAGAATTATTATTACTGAAGCCGTTTAGTGGCTTTGCACCCTACCTACCTTGCGCCCTGATGCACTTATGGCTCAGGAAGTGTTCTTCTGTGTTCCTTTGTATTCCATGGACTTGTGTGGGTATTTTTTTATCCCTCAATTTTACTGGATGTGTTTACCACTCCCCTGATCATCCCTTCCCCACTAACACAGTTCTGTGTGAAGCCATGTTCTGTAAGTCTTTTAAGTTTGAGTTGGACTGAGGCTGAAACAGAAACCTCTCTGTAATCCTCTCCTCCCTCATAAAGTGCACTGACACCTGGCTACCTACCAGCGCACTACTTGTGTTCTACCCCTTTCACAAAAGCTCTCTAGACCTTCATTCGAAATTAGTGGTTAGGGCAAAGCCTCAGGCGGAGCGCAAATAGAAGTGTAATGATGTATTCAACTCCACCAGAAATCAGAGTCAGCACTGACGGCCTTAGAGGATGGCTCATGCTGCTCACACAGGGCGCGCTTTACACCGTTCTTGTGATTTTTGTCTCCTTCCCTCTCTTCTTTCTCCGTCAGTACCTGAAAGTGAAACCCATACAATGAAATGAAGGCGAAAAGGAGAATCTTTTTCTACACGCAGTATGTAACAGTTAAGTAAAATTTCTTCTTGAGGAAACTGTTCAGAAACAAGAATTTTCTAAAAAGGTCATGAGAAAGAGAGAAAACCATACGTTTACTATACAGATGTTGCTCCTCTATATTTTTAACCCTCCCATTTGCCTAAAAGTCCAGGCTCCCCAAAAAGAGATGGAGAGACGGAGTTGTTAGGAGTAAACTGCTATTAAATAAAATATTGTTATTTGTTACTTAAGGAAAGTCATCTATTGCAGTGATAACTTTTAACAACTTCCATTCTGGCTGCTCAGTGGATGGAGGGGGTGTGGCAGTGGCTGCAGTGGGCTCTGGGGATGGGAGCACAGACTTGGCTGCTGGTGTGACTCTATGAACAGACAAGGGATGTCTGACTTCTTTCCATCTTATCCTGGTGTATGTCCTAAGTCAGTGGTCGGCAAACTCATTAGTCAACAGAGCCAAGTATCAGCAGTACAATGATTGAAATGTCTTTTGAGAGCCAAATTTTTTAAACTTAAATTTCTTCTAATACCACTTCTTCAAAATAGACTCACCCAGACCGTGGTATTCTGTGGAAGAACCATACTCAAGGGGCCAAAGTATCACATGTGGCTCGCAAGCCGCAGTTTGCCGACCACGGTCCTACGTGATACAGTCAGCCATCTATTGTTCAAAGCCAGTATTGTGACAGACCTTGGGTTAAGAGCAGTCTCTTGAGCAGCAGTCACTGAGGGCTCTCTAGCCAGGCACCCATGGACTTGATTAAGCCCAGAGGTTTGGGGGGTGAGTCCTGGAATTACATCTAGGTCTTGAAAAGGCAGAGGCTTTGTGTAGCAAGCCGTGTACAGGATGATATATTCCAACCTCATCTTTTTTAAATCTGGAAGGATGGAGAAAAAGATGGAAAGCCTGAACTTAAAAAACTTAAAAAAGCCTGGACCTTTACAAAACATTTCTGGAGAGGGATCCCTTTTAAATGGTTATTTTTGTCATTGCCTCTGGTCATTTTTCTAAATTGAAGTAAAATAAAAAATAAAAAATCAACTCAGTCTCTTTTAAAAATTGTTATGCTGAGGTCTCCAGTAAGCTAAATTTAGAATTGGAAACCTTCGGTGCTGGTTGAAAGGAAAATGCGATTCTGTGATAGTGATCCTGTGATTACTATGCCCAATATGCTGCCTAAACTCCGAGCTGTCTGCAAGATTTAGTAAGTGGTGGCTTTTTTTTTCTTTACACAAAACTCTACCATATTATCCCATGAGTTCAATAAATTTGAGAAGTTGTTTTGAAATAGTTCAAACTGAAGGTCTGATGAGTCTGTTATTTGACAGGATGGCAACAGCGTGTGCGTTATTTAAACTGAACAGGAACAAGGCTGTTTTTTAGTTTATGTTGTTAAAATTGCATACCCATAGTCTGAGATGGACAAGTTATTTGCTGCCTTCATCATTTTTTCAGCCCTGTGGGAAATCTTAGTTCCAGCCAAACTCATTTTTTTAGTTCATTTAGAAGAAAATTTAGTCCTGATCTTGCACATTGTGTTAGTTTGGCTTCCTCACTTGCTAGCTCTGTGACTTTGGGCAAATTCCTAAGCCTCAGGTTCTTTACCAAAAAAGCTAAAAAGACTTCCCATGAATTGTCAAGACTGAAGTAATGGATAGCATAAACAGTGTACAATGGCAGCACATAGGTGCTCTACAAATGGTGGCTTCCTTCCTGATGTCATAAATGATGCACTTAGCTCCTAACTCTGAAATGTTATCAAGGATATGATAAGGTCACCATATGTTATAAAGTCATCATTCTGGCTATAAATGTAGTCAAAGGGGGAAGACAATGGTCTGTTTTTAGAAAGGTTTTAGAGAGATTAGATATTTTCCAGTTGAAAGAAAGTGAGATTTATAGATAGCAGGTATTTACTTTTCATTAAGACATTTATTGTGTGTCTACTCTGTGTCAGGCCTCTGACCTGGCTACTAGCGGATATAATAGGATCCTAGATTTTCCCCTGTCCTCATGATCCTAGTGGAAAAGACAAGCCAGTAAAATGAAAGAATGTGGTGAGTGCAGCAACAAGCAGCACACGGTCCTCTGAGAGCTCATAGGAGAGGTGTGGAGGAAGTCCTAGGGGAGAGAAGCCAAGCGGTTTTTTGGAAGATGAGAAGGATTTTACCAAGCAAAGGATCTAAAAGGAGTTTTCGGGCAGAGGAGCATGGCTTTGGGGGGAAATGGTCTGTTGAATTTAGGAACAGGGAGAAAACCGATTGAGAAATGAAGTTGGGGTTCCTGCTAAGGAGTCTGGATTTCATTTGAAGAACATGAGGTCCAAGTGAAGAATTTTAAGAAGAGGAGTAACAAGTTGATTCTAAGAGTGACAACTGGCACAGTTACAGGGTGGTGGTGGCATAGGACACTTGCTCCCTCACGAGTACCTGAAATGTACACCTATATAGAGGGCAGTTCTTCCTGAGAGGCAACTGAAGGCTGACTGAACACCTTCTGCACAACAGATGAATTAAGAAACCGAGTAGAGGAGGCTGGGTAAGCACTAGAGCTCTAGAGCAGTGTTTCCCAAACTTATGACATATGTGTACCCCTTCTATAATTTTCATAACACTGAGAACATAGAATTAGGCGCAGCTAAGCACGGTGCAGTGCATATCCCCACCAAACTCCAGTGCAATGCATACCCCCACCAAACTTCCTGTACCCCTGGGGGTACGTGTATCACACTTTGGGAAACTGCTCTAGAGGATTGGAGGAGCTGGTGAGCGCCATTGTTGACATGCTCCTCCACCTTGGTAGAGTGAGCAGGAACTCTATCCAGATGCTCTGGCCTACCTGCAAGATAGCTGTAGCACGTTCCCAACCACACTACCCAGAATTCACTTGGCCCAGGGAGCAAGCAGGATCAACCAGGTGTCACCACATAGCACCTGGCCTTCCTGCCTGGCATTGCTCCAACTGGGCAAGCCAACGCCCAGACAGCCAGACATAGTAAGCATCTGCCTGGCTGCAACCAGCCTGCCATAACTACCTGGCACACAGTCCACACAGATGTTGCTTCTACACAAGATCACTTTCTTCACAACAGAGTCACCTTATAGAGAAGACTGAGAAGATGTAGTTTTCCAGGATCCGGAAGTTTTCCACTACCTGAAGTGCTGGTGAGCATCATTGCTTGCTTCCTCTCTACTTCCATAGAGTGAGCAGGAGCTCTCTCTAGGTACAGTAGCCCTGTAAGACTGCCACAGTGCATTCCCAGCCACACTGTCCAAACATGTTTTGTCTCTGAACAAAGGGATCAAGCAGGATCAATAGACACTTATTACATGTACCATCTGGAGCCACTCCAGCCCAATAGGCTGGTGCACCAGTAGCAAAGGCCCCCTCTTGGCTCCAACCGCCTTTCTACTGACATATACAGAGATCACTTCTATACAAGGCCAGCTTTTCAAGACTGGGAAAGTTATTTTGTTTGAGTGATAGAAATAAACATAGGATGTCAAACAAAATAAGAAGATAAAATAGTTCTCAACTGAAAAAGTAGAAAAAAATCCCCAGGGCAAGATGGGCGGAGGCAGGGAAACCCTAATGAAATGGAAATAATTTGCCTGACAATGACTTAAAGGAAATGATTATGAGAATGCTCACCAAACTTGAGAGTGGAATAAAGGAATTTAGGGAGAGCAACAGAGTTAACACAATAAAGAACTAAGCAGACCTAAAGAATGCAGTAATTGAAATGAAAAATACTCTAGAAGGAATCAACAGCAGATTAGCTAATACAGATGAAAGGACAAGTGACATGGAATACAGACTAATGGAAATCAACTAAATCAGCAAAATAGAAGTACTTTTTTTTCTTTCCCAAAAATGAGGATAATTTAAGAAAGCTCTGTGATAACATCAAGCACACAAACACTTGCATTTATATGGATCTCAGAAGGAGAAGGAAGAAAAAGAAGCAGGAAATTAATTTGAAGAAAAAAATGGCTGAAAACTTTTCTAACCTGGGGACGAAAACAGACATCCGGGTCCAAAGCATGGAGAGTTCCAAGTAGATGAATCCAAAAATTATACCAAGACATATTGTAGTAAAAG